CTAAATCTGCTGGATCAAAAGGCACATATATTACATGTTTTTGATAGTTATTACTAATTATGTGAGAGTGACTTTCTGCACACCCTCACCAACATTGGGTATCATAAATATTCATGTAGAATTTATTTGGTTTACACATGTTAAGTATATAGTTAGTGACGCCCTTAATAAATGTATGTGTACCTGCTATAGACTGAATTCTTGTGTCCCCCCTAAAATTCATATGCTAAAATTTAATCTCCAATGTGATGGTACTCAGAGGTAGGGCCTTTGTGAGGTGATAAGATGATGAGGGTAGAGCCCTCACCCTCATGGGATTCGTGCTCTTATAAAACAGATCCCAGCTAGATCCCTTGCCCCTTCTCCCATGTGAGGACACAACGAGAAGGTGCCATCTATGAACAAAGAAGCAAGCCCTCACCAGACACAGAAACTTGAACATCCCAGGCTCCAGAACTGTGAGAAATAAATTGATGTTGTTTAGAAGCCATCCAGTCTATGGTATTCTATTACAGCAGCCCAAACTGACTAAGACAGCCCCCTTTCCTTTCTTCTCTAGAGAAAGGACTTTCTAGGTGGGGTGACGTTGAACAAGAGTCATCTGTCTGAGTCTCAGTTTCCTTATTTGAAAAATGGGGTTAAGAATATCTCCTCATCAAGTTGTTGTAAGGATTAAATAACACAATGTAAATAAAGAACCTAGCCCAATGTTTGGTAATGCCCAATAAATGGCAGGAACCTTCTCTTTGTGTTCCCTGCAGTGCTTGGTACCTACGGCATCCAATGAAAACAAAGTGAGGAAAATTAGTTTATGACTGGCCTACCTAACATCTGCTGAATATTGACCACATCTGGCCAATTTAAGAATTGACTCATTTAATGCTTGCCACCACACAGAGGTGGGTGCTATTATTATCACTATTTTATAAAAACGTAAAGTTACAAGCTAGTTAGCAGTTGATCCAGGAATCTAGAACTTGGGATCATAAATACTCCACCTTTTGGAAATAAGTAGGTGCACAGCAGGTTGCCTGCCTCTTGTCTGTCTTGGGCTGACAGGCTTCCTCTAGAGCAACCATCTTGAGAAGGCTAGTCAGCTTCCTCAGGCCAGCCTTTACCATTCCTACCCTGGGCGTGATATTACGTTTACAAGCAACACCTGTTGTGGTTCAACAAAAACACTGTAATTAAAGAGAACAGCCAGAGGAAAATAAATAGCGTGTTTACTTCAACAAAGTTGAAAAAAAATTACAATTACTTATTTTATTTGTCTGAAGATTGATTTGATATCTATTGGGTGCTGTAGAAAGCCCCTCACATTAAAATAAAGCCCTATATGGATCTCCGACAGCCAACATTTTACATGAGGCCTTTATCAGTGTGCCTTGAATAAGTCATGGGCTTGTATGTTTTCAGGTGAGTATTTAAAATGTATTTTTAATTTAATTTTATTATTTTTTTGAGACAGGGTCTTGCTGTCACCCAGGCTGGAGTACAGTGCACGATCTTGGCTCACTGCAACCTCCACCTCCTGGGTTCAAGCGATTCTCCCACCTCAGCTTGCCAAGTAGCTGGGACTACAGGTGCCCACCACCACACCCAGCTAAGTTTTATATTTTTAGTAGAGACAGGTTTTTACCATGTTGTCCAGGATGGTCTTGAACTCCCAGACCCGAGAGATCTGCCCACTTTGGCCTCCCAAAGTACTGGAATTACAGGCATGAGCTACTATGGCTGGCCTAAAATAGAATTTCAAAATAAGTATAACTATTCATTTTGCGGATTTACTTTTTATAATTTCTATGCAGATGCCAGCAGGTGAGGACTGTAGTAAGAGTTGTGCACTTTAATTTTAAAATACAGAATATCCTCCAAAGCCCAAAGCCGAAGGATATAGGTAATTTTATTTTAAATACAAATGCCTAACTTTTAATAAAGTAGGGGTGATAGATGGTGCTGATCTTATTCTCAATTTACAAATAAACATTGAGGCTGCGAGCATCAGGCAACAGGTTTGAACTTTTGTTGTGCTGTTAGGGCAAATGGAGGTAGGTCTGTGGAGGTGCATCCTTGGGCTTTCAAAAGGGGCCCTACTCTGTGCATTTAAGAAAGATCAGATATAATCACACAACATAAAAAAAATCTGGAAGGATATACAGCACAGTGTTAGCTCTATGTGGTGGGATTAGAAAATTTTATATTTTAAAAGTACCTTTCTGAGCTGCCTGAATTTTGTTTTAATTGAGAATTTTTTCCTTTTATAATCGGAAAATTTAAGAGAAATTAATGAGGAAATACAAAGGTTGGGCATGGTGGCTCACACCAGTAATCCCAGCATTTTGGGAGGCTGAGGCAGGTGGCTCAATTGAGCTCACAAGTTCAAGACCAGCTTGGGCAACATGGCAAAACCCAGTCTCTCCAAAACAAAACAAAAAATATATATATATGTATATTTCCATATATATATATTTCCATATATATTTCCATATATATGTGTGTGTGTGTGTGTGTGTGTGTGTGTATTAGCCAGGCACGGTGTTGTGTTCCTGTTGTCCCAGCTACTTGGGAGCTTGAGGTGGGAGGAGCCAGGGAGGTCCAGGCTACAGTACGCTGAGATGGTGCCACTGCACTGGGTGATACAGCCAGACCAAGAAAGAGAGAAAGAGAGAAAGAGAGAAAGAAAGGAAGGAAGGAAGGAAGGAAGGAAGGAAGGAAGGAAGGAAGGAAGGAAGGAAGGAGAGAAAGGAAAAGAAGAGAAGAAAAGAGAGAAAAAAAAGAAAGAAAAGAAAGAAAGAAAAGAAAAGAAGAAATAACAAAAAAATGATGGAAAGCAAAGAAAGGAGGCTGTGCCTTCCTGGGCCGGAGGTAAACGAATCTTGGCTGGATTCCATCCCTCCTGGCAGTCCTTCCAGATCTCTTCTCAGATTAGCCTGCAGACTTGTGTTCTTCCTCTTACTCCACTAAGATGTGGCGTCTTGTGCTTCAGTTTCATTCTGTGAACTCACAGAAGCCCTGGAGTTTCACTCCAGGGGAGTTTCAGCCTGGAGCCCTCTGCTATCTGCCCTTTCTCCTGTACTCAGCGTGATACCTCAAATGAATTCCAGACCTTGAGTTACAGCAAAGGAGGGCTTTAGAATCAGATGGCCACATGAACAATGTTTAACCAGTCTTAATTTTGGTTTCCTTATCTCTAGAGTGTAGAAAATCATACTACCCATTTTTTTTGTTTGTTGTAGGTGTCACAGAAAAAATACATAGAGCATTTACGAAAGTCCTCGGCCTTTGCTCATTCAACAGTAGACATTAATTGTATATCTATTTATTTGCCAAGCATTCCTCTGGGCACCGACGATACACAGAATAAACATATTTTTAAAGAGAAATATGTATTTTTCAACTTCTTATTTTAGCATAGAACATCCTTTACTTATGACCTGTTTCATGTGTTCATGTGAAAAGACCACCTAACAGGCTTTGTGTGAGCAACACGGCTGTTTATTTCACCTGGGTGCAGGCAGGCTGAGTCTGAAAAAAGAGTCAGCAAAGGGTGGTGGATTATCATTAGTTCTTAAAGGTTGTGGGATAGGCGGTAGAGGTGGGAGCAATGTTTTGCGGGCAGGGGGTGGATCTCACAAAGTACATTCTCAAGGAAGGGGAGAATTAACAAAGAATCTTCTTAAGGGTGGGGGAGATTATAAAGTACATTGATCAGTTAGGGCGAGGCAGAAACAAATTACAATGGTGGAATGTTATCAGTTAAGGCTATTTTCACTTCTTTTGTGGATCTTCAGTTGCTTTAGGCCATCTGGTCACAAGGGATATGATGACTTAGCTTGGGCTCAGAGGCCTGACATTCCTGTTTTCTTATATTAATGAGAAAAAAAAACCCGAAATAGTGGTAAAGTGTTGGGGTAGCAAACATTTTGGGCGGTGGTATGGAGAGATAATGGGCGATGTTTCTCAGGGCTGCTTCGAGCAGGATTAGGGGCGGCGTGGGAACCTACAGTGGGAGAGATTCAACTGAAGAAAGATTTTGGGGTAAGGGGTGATATTGTGGGGTTGCTAGAAGGAGCATTTGTCATATAGAATTATTGGTGATGGCCTGGATGCAGTTTTGTATGAATTGAGAAACTAAATGAAAGACACAAGGCCGAATAAGAGGAGAAAAACAGGTGTTAAAGGACTAAGAATTGGGAGTACCCAGGACATCCAATTACAGAGTGTCAAAGAGGGTTCAGTGTAATTATTTGCTTGGTTGGCGAGTTTTTGGGCTTATCCTTGAGTTTTTTTACATTGTCACATACCAGGCCAGATTGATGTAGGTAAAAACAATATTCTTCATTTAAAAATATACAGAGTCCCCGCTTTTTTTTTTTTTTTTTAGCAGTGAGTAAGTCACGGCCTGGTTGAATTTGGAGGAAAGAGAAATGCAAAGTCAGCAATTGTTTGTTAAAGAAGGATTAGAAATGGCTAGGAGACAGTGAGACTGATAGTGTGGTGGAGATAGCTGGGGAGAGGTAGAGGGTAGCATAAGAATGGGAACGACCGTAAGAGTAAAGTATAAAAGTAAAGAATAGGACTTCATCAGGGTGAAAGTATTGGAGTGTACTTTGTCACTGAAGATCTTTGTTTGGGTGAGGGAGAAGGGACAAGATGGAGGAAGGTGAACAAGATGGAGCAGTCTCTGTTGTTTCCGGGTTCTTCATCACAGATTTTCCTGTGCCCGGGAAAAGAACCAAATCAACTGAGCATGCGCAGAGTGACGTCAAGCCGGGGACACCGAAATTCAAGAAGCCACTCCTACACACACGCCTCAAACTCCTCCCCTTCCAGCTCCCAGGCATAAAAGTCCGCTGCCAGTAAGCGCGGGTGTGACTCCTTCAGCCCCCGCATTTGTGGACTGGAGAACTTCACCGGAGAGTGCCGGCGCGACTTCCCTGGCCCTTTCCCGAGGACCAGAGAACCTCGCCTGAGAGTGTGCGCATATTTGCAATAAAAGACTGCCACTTTCTTATGTACTTTGGCCTCATGTTTAATTATTTAGCTCTCCTAAATTAAATTAAACAAAACAATCTTCTGTCTACTTAAAGAGAGACTTAAGGGTGGCAGTTTGAGATAAAACCAGGTGCCACTGAATACCAAGAGCCTGAGAAACTGAGGTGGGAAAGCCAAACTGAGCAATTATGTCTGACAGAAGGGAAGAAATGACCATGGTGGCCTTCCCAGACCCTGTGGGAAAGGCCTTTATCCAGTGAAAGTGTCTACTCAGACTACGAAGTATTTTAGTTTCCCGACTCGAGGCATGTGAGTAAAGTTAATTTGCCGTTCTTGGGCGGGGGCAAACCCCCGAGCTTGATGTGTAGGGAAGGGAGGGGGCCTGAGAAATTCCTAAGGAGTAATAGAATAGCAGATGGAACACTGAGAAGTGATTTCCTTGAGGACAGATTTCCACAATGGAAAGGAAATGAGAGGTTCTAAGAGACGGGCTAGCGGCTTAGTAACCTACATGGAAGAGGTTATGAAATGACGACAGAATAGAATGGGCCTGTGAGACTGGAAGGAGATATTTTCTTTGATACAAGAACCATTTGCCTTGTGTGGGAAGAGATAGGTGGAAGTTTCAGTGGGGGAGTAGGTGGGAGTGGCTAGATGAGAAGGAGAAAAACTGCCATGAGGGATAGAAGTTGGAACACTAATTGCTTTTTTAGTTACCTTATCAGCATAAGCATTGCCCTGAGCAATGGGATCTGATGCCTTTTGATGGCCCTTGCAGTGTATGACTCCAGCTTCCTTTGGAAGTAAAGCAGCCTGGAGAAGAGTTTTTATTAAAGAGGCATTAAATCCCCCTTGCGTAGCGAGGAAAGCTTTCAGTCCATAAAACAGCATGGTGGTGCAGGATATGGGGCCAGTATAAATATTGACGCATAGTCCTTTTACAAGAGTGGGGGCCCAAATTAAGGCAAGGAGTCCGGCTAGCTGAGAGGTAGTGGACTGGGATAGAGCAGTTGCCTCAATGATAGATGTGGAAGATACTATAGCATAGCCTGCCTTTGCTGGTGTGTGGCAATTAGGCTGGTGGAACTTCCATCAATAAACCAAGTATGATCAGGGTGAGGAACAAGAAAGAAGGAAATATGGGGAAATGGAGTGAATGTCAGGTGGATCAGAGAGATACAGTCATGGGGATCAGGTGTGGTATCCGGAATAATGTGGGAGGCCGGATTGAAGTCTGGGCCAGGAACAATGGTAATTGTGGGAGACTCAACAAGGAGTGAGTATAGCTGAAGGAGCCGGGGAGCAGAAAGTATATGCATCAGGTGTGAGGAAGAAAACAGATTTTGGAAATTATGAGAGCTGTAGAGAGTGAGTTGAGCATAGTTTGTGATTTTGAGGGCCTCTAAAACTATTAGGGCGGCGGCAGCCACTGCACAGAGACATGATGGCCAGCCTAAAACAGTAAGGTCAAGTTATTTGAACAAAAAGGCTACAGGGCACGGTCCCAGTCCTTGTGTAAGAATTCTGACTGCACAGCCCTGCCCTTCGGCTGTGTGTAATGAAAAGGGTTGGGATGAGTCAGGGAGAGAGAGCTAGGGTGGGGGCAGTCTCTAAAGCTGTCTTCAAGGAACGGAAAGAGGAGTGGGGAAAGGATTTAGGATCTATGGGGTCAGCTAGGTTTCCTTTGGTGAGTTTATATAATGGTTTTGTTAGGATGGCAAAACCAGGTATTGAAAGGCGAAAGTATCCAACAACAAGGAGTTGTTGTTTTGTAGAAGGTGTTGGGGTTTGAGAGATCAGTCGGACATGATTGGCAGGGAGAGCACATGTGTTTTCATGAAGAATTATGCCGAGATAGGTAACAGATGAGGAAGAAATTTGGGCTTGACTGAAGTAATGGGGGCTGTCTGTGAAGCCTTGTGGCAGTACAGCCCAGGTAATTTGCTGAGCCTGATGGGTGTCAGGGTCAGTCCAGGTAAAAGCAAAGAGACTGGGATGAAGGGTGCAGGGGAATAGTGGAAAAAGCATCTTTAAGGTCAAGAACAGAAGAGCGAGTAGTGGAGGAAGGTATTGAGGACAAAAGAGTGTATGGGTTGGGCACTGCAGGGTGGATAGGCCAAACAATTTGGTTGATAAGGCGCAGATCCTGCGCCTTGTCTGGTTTTTGGACACGTAAAATGGGGGAATTGTAAGGAGACTTTATAGGTTTTAGAAGCCCATGCTGCAGGCTTTAATCCTTTTAAAATGTGCTGTGGGATGGGATATTGGCGTTGAGCGGGGTAAGGATGATTAGGTTTTAATGGAATGGTAAGGGGTGCATCATTTGTCGTCAAGGAGGGAGTAGAGGTATCCCATACTTGTGGGTTAAGGTGGGGGGATACGAGAGGAAGATGCGAAGGAGGCTTTGAACAGGGGAAAAGGGTGGCAATGAGGTGTGGCTGTAGCCCAGGAAAAGTCAGGGAAGCAGATAATTTGGTTAAAATGTCTCGACCTAATAAGGGAGCTGGGCAGGTGGGGATAACTAAAAAGGAGTGCATAAAAGAATGTTGTCCAAGTTAGCACCAGAGTTGGGGAGTTTTAAGAGGTTTAGAAGCCTGGCCGTCAGTACCCACAACTGTTATGGAGGCAAAGGAAAAAGGCCTTTGAAAAGAAGGTAATGTGGAGTGAGTAGCCTCCGTATTAATTAAGAAGGGAATGGACTTACCTTCCACTGTAAGAGTTACCCAAAGCATCTGTGATGGTCCAGGAGGCTTCTGAGGGGATTGGGCAGTGTCAGTCTTCAGCTGCTAAGCCGAGAAGATCTGGGAAGGAGTCAGAGCCTTGGGCCAGTTGGACAGTCCAATTTCCAGTGGGGTCCCGCACAGATGGGACACGGCTTAGGAGGAATCCCGGGCTGCGGGCATTCCTTGGCCCAGTGGCCAGATTTCTAGCACTTGAAGCAAGATTCTGGGGGAGGAAGTCCTGAAGGAAAGAACGCCTGACTGCTGTGGCTTAGGCGTTTTGGAGTTTTTGTGTGCTGGAGATATGGCTGGGGTTTCTTTCACAGCGGAGGCAAGTAATTGCAACTCTTCTCTATTATTGTACACCTTGAAGGCGAGGTTAATTAAGTCCTGTTGTGGGGTTTGAGGGCTGGAATCTAATTTTTGGAGCTTTTTCTAATGCCAGGAGGGGATTAGGTAATAAAATGCATAGCGAATAAGATGGCCTTCTGGCCCCTCTGTGTCTAGGGTAGTAAAGTGTCTAAGGGTTACTGCCAAACAGGCCATGAACTTGGCTGGGTTTTCGTCTTTACCTTGGGTAGTTTTTTTTAAGTTTGTTGTATTAACAGCTTTGTAAGCTGCCTTTTAAAGCCCTTCAACTAGGCAGGAAACCATGTAATCTCACCCAGCTATACCTGGAGAATCTGCCTGATAGTTCCATTGGGGATCTCCTCGGGGAACTGCTGTAATGCCTTCCTGGAGGTCTGGCTCATGAAGCTGGCGGTTATCAGCGTGAGATTGGGCGAGAGAAAAAACTCTTTCCCGTTCATCTGGGGAGAGGGTAGAAGTTAGGATGACATTTAAGTCACTCCAGGTTAAATTGTAGGACAGAGTTAGATATCGGAATTCCTGTATATATTTAGTGGGGTCTGATGAGAAAGAGCCTAAATGCTGGCTGATCTGGGAAAAGTCTGATAGAGAAAAAGGCACATGAACCCTGACTATGCCTTCAGCTCCAGCCACCTCTCTAAGGGGAAATTGCTGGGCAGGTGGGGGAGGGCTAGTCGTGGAAAGAAACTGTAAACCAGACCAGGTTTAAGGAGGGGAGGTGATAGATGGATTATAGGGTAGGGGAGTAGAAGCTGAGGAAGAATTGGGACCTGGCTTGGCCTGGCGAGGAGCAGCCTGGGGAGAAGGGGAGAGGTGAGATGAGTCCATAGAAAAGAAGGGCTTGGGGTGGAGACTGAAGAAACAGACAGGAGAGAAAGAAGAAAGATTTGGGACGAGTCTCACTGGGAGCAGAGAGTAGGGAGAGACCAATGTGTAAAAGAATGCCTGAACGTCAGGCACTTCAGACCATTTGCCCATTTTTTGATAAAAATTATCTGGATCTTGTAGGATAGAAAAATCGAAAGTGCCATTCTCCGGCCACTTGGAACTACTGTTGAGTTAGTACTGGGGCCAAGTGGTATTGCAGAAGAAAATAAGACACTTAGATTTTAGGTCAGGCGAGAGTTGAAGAGGTTTTAAGTTCTTGAGAACACAGGCTAAGGGAGAAGAAGGAGGAATGGAGGGTGGAAGTTTGCCCATAGTGAAGGAGGTAAGTTTAAAGAGAAGGGTAGAGACACGGAGAAGGGGGTGGGGAGCAACCCTGGGTTGCAACGTCGGTGAGCAGCCAAAGCAGGCGTCCCCACAATTGACTTGCCATCAAGGGAACATGGGTGAATGATCGAGGCAGGCATCCCCATGGAGATCAGACACCAAAGGAATGTGGGTGAGTAATCAGAGAGGTTTCCCCGCAATGATTAAACACCAAGGGAAGGCTGCCTTCCCGAGTCCGTGACCAGTGCCGGAGTTTTGGGTCCACAGATAAAATGTGTCTCCTTTGTCTCTACCAGAAAATGAAAGGAATCGAAATTAAGAGAAGGTAGAGATTGAAGGGTGGTGCCAAGATTGAAAGGAGAAAGAGGTTGAGGTATAGTGAGAGAGGTTGGAGAAGAGAGTAAAAAGAGGCCGCTTACCCGATTTAAAATCGATGAGATGTTCCTTGGGCTGGTTGGTCTGAGGACCCAAGGTCATAGGCGGATCTCTTCATGGAGTGAGGATGAGGACAGTGTACTGGTCTCCCGAAGGAGTCCTGCTGTCCTGGGTTTTGGCACCAAATGTTTCACGTGTCTGTGTGACGAGACCACCAAACAGGCTTTGTGTGAGCAACATGGCTGTTTATTTCACCTGGGTGCAGGTGGACTGAGTCCGAAAAGAGAGTCAGCAAAGGGTGGTGGATTTTCATTAGTTCCTACAGGTTTTGGGATAGGTGGTAGAGGTGGGAGCAATGTTTTGCAGGCAGGGGGTGGATCTCACAAAGTACATTCTCAAGGGAGGGGAGAATTACAAAGAAACTTCTTAAGGGTGGGGGAGATTACAAAGTACATTGATCAGTCAGGGTGGGGCAGAAACAAATTACAACGGGGGAATGTCATCAGTTAAGGCTATTTTCACTTCTTTTGTGGATTTTCAGTTGCTTCAGGCCATCTGGTCACAAGGGATATGATGGCTTAGCTTGGGCTCAGAGGCCTGACACTTTCAACTTATAATTTTCTCAGATGACAA